GGGGCTACTTTGGACTGTGTCTGAGATTATTGTTTTTCCGCTCTCTCGGTGGTAGCGAGAGGTAAAACGGGCACATTCATAACGAAAACGGCGTGAAAATCAAAAACATTCAAGCGAGGGGGGGTGTAAACAATATGCGGTCCCTCCTTGTACCCCCGACCCTGCGCAAGCACCCGAAGCAAGTCGTGCGACCACGTCGACGTTTTGGAAAATCCAAAGACGAACCCCAAGGATAAGTGACAAAGGAACACTATAGCCGTATGTGGTGTAACCAGAAACATAAACATGGAGAGGAATACCCTCGGTAGGACACTTGAGCACTCTTGCAAGTCTCATTCAGAGATGGATGTAGCGTCGTCCGCTTAAGGTGTGCTCGTAAAGAGAAAGCACGTCTTCGTCGCCCTGCCGACGCCCGCTAGAAGACTCGGCGTGTGGCAGAGAGACTGGCGAATTCAGTGATGAGGCAACTGGCCCCGTCGAAGCGTATGACCAAAAACACACGCACACACCATTCTGTCTTTTAATCCGGAGAATACCCTAGCCTCTTCCGTGACCCTCCCAGCGCGGGGTCCCAGGCCACGGCCTTTAGAAGAAACGAATTCCGTTATAAGCCGCACTGATATTGGCGTATTTTTATTTGTCAGCCGGCTTAGCGCCACCGATTCGAGCACTAAAGACACATACATGACCTTTAGAAGCGTTTTTCGTGTTCACCCGCACTGAGACTGACAAATTCTCGCTGATCGGTCGATCGGCACCGTCGATGCTGTAACTGCGGAGACACGCACACACACACGCATTCGCCAATAACACAAGCTAGTACTTCCATATTTTTCGTCACATGTATACTTTCTAAGCACACAAGCACACCTTCCCGTATCCTGCTTTCTCGTAAATCGCCACCTTCTCCTCCGCTTCTGGGCTCCACTCCACAGATGCCGCCCGGTACATCTCTCGGCACACGGTGTTCATTTTTTCCTAAGCCGAGAGGGAGGCGGGGGACGGAGGGGGGGAGGTAGTGGACAGGGCACCGTCACATATCGAAGTGTCTTGGGGGGGTAACGTGCATGCCGAAGTCGTAAGACCATTGAACCCGCATCCCGGGACGGAGCACGCCGGGGTTTCACCGGACCAGGTTAGCACCTGTCTGGGGCGGAGGGGGGGTCCTACGCCGAGAGAAGGAGGAGAGGGGGGAGGAGACGGTCCGAGGGGGGCATGAACAGGGGACCGTCAGATATCGGAGTGGGGGGGGATCGGCTGTCAAGGGACCGCGAGCCAGGTGCAGTGCCTGCTTTTGTTCTTCGACGTTTTTCGATCTCTCCGTCATATTCCCGTCGCTCGCGGAAACTTGCTTGTAGTTGTTCATAGGTCGTCCAATCGGGGATGGATATCTCACTGAAGGATATCCGTTCCTCTCCCAAATGCCAGGAGGTCTTACCAGGGATGTACCTCACAGAAGGAAGTCGCTCCTCTCCCTACTACAGACGTTCCGCCATTGAATCCGTTCCGTCTGTGGTGCCCCGCTTGCCCTTCTCAGAGATATAGCAGTTTTTCAATTCCATTCCTCGAGTGTCCCCGCCCCCCGCCCTCCAAGCAATGAAAATGACGGTCTGCGACGATAACGAAGAAGACCACTAACTACGACGAGCCTCGAACCTCGCGGCCTGGCAGTTGTGCTAAAGTTAACGGGGCTACAAAATCGAACTGGAGCACCGAAACCGCCAGATCGAGTACAATCATACACGAGACGGACCGAAGTCCCGCACAGTGTCTTGGGCGTCATGGTATCTATGCACGGGAGGGTAGTTGTTTCTTCTCCCCCCGTTGTGATTGTTGTTGTTGCTGCTGCTGGTGGGGTCATCTGTTGCCAACGTTAAGTGTGTGGCTGACATGTGCTGTTTGCCGTGGGCTAGATGCGGGTACCCAAAGCTCGGCCAAAACTGTCCAAAGAGCGAGCAGAAAACAATAGCGGTTTGAGTGATCGCCATCATCATCGACAACAACACCAACAACACCAAAACCTACAACACAACAACAACAACAACAACAACAACAACAACAACAACAACAACAACAACAACAACAACAACAACAACAACAACAACAACAACAACAACAACAACAACAACAACAGCACACAGCGCCATCATGTGTAGATCCGTTCTCCCCACCTTGATGGATGCTTCCGACGGGTACAGGAACCGAAACGGCTTCGACGGGTCTGCTCGGGTAGACGCGCACGCTCCCATCACGGCTTCCGCTAGTTGCACCGCCCCAGCTCCTCCTTCCGCCCTGGCAGCACACGACGACACACAGCATACTTCGGTCGTGATCTCGAACTCGCGGAGGGTAGATTAAATAAACACTGTTCTAGTCTTCTTTTAGTTTGATTGTGCGGGACCCCCCAATCGGTATCCCCCCGAAGACAGTGAGACCGCTGAACGGCATGCCAGAAAGTGTTTCCCCGTGAGGGTTGTGCTTTTTCATTGGGCTGCCGGTCGAAGCACACGCGCGCATCCATTGCTTCGTACTTGGAAGCTCAGGTTAAAACACACACACAATAACCCTCCATGCAGACATCACCAATTCCCATACATTCCCTCCCAGTCTGAGTGCCCTAACCCCTGCCCAGTGGGCTGGCAAGCGCTGTGCGTGTGCTTGTTCAGGAAAACACTGGCGTGTCTCTGCGCTTCATCGGGATACATGGCCCGCGGGTGAGATGCCAAATTGAAAGAAGTGTGCACACGCCGCGAGGTTTTACCTATCATACGTTCCTTGTACAACGCGGATTTCATTCAAGAAACACGAACGTGTGTATCCACAACTACCAACACGAGAAACACAAATACCAACACGAAAAAACCACAACCGTCGCAGGCTCTCTATAAGGCGGGTTAATCAGGCGGGTGCCCAATATAAGGCGGGCAACATTGGCTGGCTCAGACGGAATAATCAAGTTGTTCTGTTCTTCAGGTTGACTAAGGCGGGGACCCCGTACAGGGCGGGCAAATCGGTCTGGTGCATACCTGCCTCACAGAGGGCCTACGACTGAATCCTATACACACAGAAAACAGACCCAATACACACTTTTCACACACCAGTGCGACGATTTCACGGCAGAAAACGCGCCGGCCTCCAGGGCGAGCTCCCTCACGAGATCGATCTCCGCCGGAGTGTCTGTAGAGAAGACATTCACGCCCACCACCACCTGTGAAGCAAAAAACAAAAATGGTACGGCCGAGAGAACTCAAGAACGGCTGTAGAAGAGCGCCATTGTGTGAAAGGGGGGGGGGGGAATCCTCCTCGATAGATCAATCCTCCTCAACAGACTGGAGAGGGGACCCGTTCTTCGAAGGCCTTACCCACAACTTCCTACGCGTTGGGGAAGAGGTGATCCGTTCTTCAAAGGTCATCACAGTATCCCGCGTGATGCGTCGATGCCCAGCAGAGTGCCACAACGAATCAGCTGACAGGTGTACCGATATGGTGCCGTTAACGGTGACCGGCTGCTTGTGTTACCTTTACGCCGTACTTGAGAGCGTTGGTGATGTGGACCGCGAGATTGGCACACCCTCTCCGCAACAAGTCAAGGTTCTCCTCCTGACACAAGAGGAGCACGGCGAGGGGCACGGGGGGGACTAGTGGTGAGTGGGAGTGCGTCACTACCACGATTGCCGTGTCCGTTAGACCACAGGAAGGGTGGGGTCAGGTGTTCGGGTTGACACATTGAGCAGTGATCGCTCTCTCTCTCCCTCTCTCTCTCTCTCTCTCTCTCTCTCCCTCTCTCTCTCTCTCTCTCTCTCTCTCGCTCTCTCTCTCTCTAGATCCTTCTTTCGGACGGTGTGTACACATACAGCTACCGTATAGTTCAAAGAACATCACAGGCGGTGGTTGTTGGGGGGTGGGGGGCACGCACCTTGTACACGTTGGCCAAAGGAGTCCCAGCCTTGACAGGCGGACCCCCGCCGTGCATCTTGAGGGCGCGAACCGTCGCAACGAGCACTGCGCACTGCGGCGTGTTTCCCGAGGCCCGGCACTGTTTTGTGTTCCGGTTCGTTGTGGTTGTGAAAAACGAACAGGATAGTAAGAGAGAAGGGAAGGAAGAAGGAACGAAAGAAAGAAAGAAAGAAAGAAAGAAGAAAAAAAAGGGAAGAAAGACCGAGAGGTCAAGAACATTGAGAAGGAAAAGGAGAAGCACAAGCGAAAACAAGTAAAGAGAGGAAGAACGAAAGAAATACGAACAGGATAGTAAGAGAGAAGGAAAGAAAGAAAGAAAGAAAGAAACAAGAAAAAAAAGGGAAGAAAGGCCGAGAGGTCAAGAACAGTGAGAAGGAGAAGGAGAAGCACAAGCGGAAACAAGGAAAGAAAGTAAGAACGAAAGAAAGAAAGGAGGGGACATCAGAGAGCAAGAACGCGGACAGGGAGAACAAGAGGGGAGAAAGACGCAACCAGCCAGAGTGAAACAGGCAGCGCGAGCAAGGAAAACGATGAGAACGAAGGCAAGGACCAAGAGGAACCAAAGAAGGGAGTACCACCAAAAATGAGAAATGGGGGAAATTTATCGGCGGGGACGAAGAAAAACAAAGAGGTGGAGGAGAGACGATGTGCATGGTTCTACTGTTTGCCTGGGCATCGTGTTTCACAAAGGGGGGTAGGTGGGAGAGGAACAGATGATCGTGCGTACTTAACGTTCCAGACGGAAAACACGAAGCGTATGGTAACAGGAGGGGAGACGGGGCATGGGCAACACGTGACGGGAGAGGGGAGTACGCATACGAGTACAACGCAGAGCCAGGAGGAAGACGAAGTTGTTGGCAAAGGGAGGGTTCTCGGTGGGTCAGATAATATCGGGCGCCGGGGGAGGGGGGGGGTACTCTTATGTTTTGCATGCCTTAGCGGTTAGACCATTGACCACACGTCCTCGAGAGAACGGAGCATTGTTCCCACAGGACCGCCAATCGTTCCTTTCTACTTTGCCAAAGGTGGCGGGGGGGGGGGGATAGGTCNCAAGGTTGAGATTGATGATAGGTGTTGCGTGAGGAAGCCGATCCCTGCCCAAAGAGAATAAAAAAAACAGTACGAATGGATCCATCCGTGGCTCGCTCTCTCTCGGTGTGTTCTATCTCTCTGTTTCTATTTCTCTTTTTTTCTCTGCTCTTTCTCTCTCTCTCTCTCTCTTTCTCTCTCTCTCTCTCTCTCTCTCTCTCTCTCTCTCTCTCTC